AAAAAAAAAAAAGCTACTTTACCGTCACCAAAGGACCAGGCACAGAAATAAAACATAACCCCTACAAGCCGCCCCTGCTTCTCAGGAATTCAGTTATTGCCAACACTGAATTTCAAACACTGAAAATTCAGGCTAAGCTGGGATGACGAGAGAATGCCTGTATGTCCCCAAGTACAGAAGCCTGGCATTTCATCCGCACACCACAGACAGGCTCTCTCTCACTCTATGACCGTAACGTGCCAGAGAATAAAGCCATCTGAGAAATCAGTGTATTTGTACAAATAGCCGATTTTCTGACATTGGCGGAACAGAACACATGCCCCTGGGTTAACCATGGCACAGCCAGGCGCAAATATTAGCGGCAATGTTTAAATGACACTTCAGTTCCCCAGAAATCGCTGGGCACCACTTCTGTGTGGAGCTACAGACTCCTGTAGCCTCCGCCGCGGGCCCCGTGGCCCCGTGACCCCTCGCGATGGAAAGAAAGCTCCGAAGCTGGTTCAGAATGGCACCGCCAGCGCCCACTCTGGTCCACCAGGCGGAGCAGGTGCAGCAGGCCAGGCGGGGAGTGCCCTTCACCTCACAGCGTCACATGTCTGTCCCACGGCCCTAAACACACCCTGTGGCTATCCTCCCCTTTTCTGAAGAGAGGCTGAACAGACCATTCCCTGACTGGTAGAATCTCTACCCTGGTTCCCTGACCTTTGCAGTCAGGCGTCTCCTGGTGAGAAGAGTCTAGTGGAAACCCCTAAAACTGCGAAACAGAAAACCGAAACCCATGCGCATGAAAGCCTTGGAAGAAGTGGAGAGGGCAGTTTTCAGCGCGCCCCAACCAGCTTATCTGTTCGGCTCGGGCGGGAGCACATGAGCGCTGAGCAGCGCACTGCTTTGCTGAGAGTATAAACGGATGGGACACCAGTTGCAGCTGCTGCCCAGCTGTTGCCCTTCCCAGAGCAGACGCCCGTCTGTAGCTCGCACACCACCACGGACGCAGCCGACGCGTTCTCCTGCAGTTTGCAGCCTGTTAGCAGACGCCACCAGGAGCATGTGCTTTCAGGTGGCAACGGGCGCCCTCACTGTCCTGCGCCAAGGCCACGCGGCTACATCGCCCTCCCATCACTGTCTGGGCCACAGGAAGTGCAGCCTCTCAGCGTCCCCGAGCAGCCTGGAGGTTCGCTGCATTGGTGACATCACGTTCATTCAACCCTGGGGGAAATGGGACAATGCCCTGGACAACTTGGTAAGACACAGATGCGCCAG